TGTTCTCAAGTAATTTAGCTCCTAAATTGGAACTGTTCTTTTTCCCTAAATAAATAGCTAAGGGTGTTAGTGTCTGTGTTCTGTTGCAAAACTTCAGATGGTGTTTTCTTGGCCTTTCATCAGCTGCTGCTCCCCTCCTGCCCTGCTCCCTTTCTGAAGCCCTCTGATCAGGATGCTCACGCGAGAGTCACGGTGTCTGGGGAGGGCAGGCTGACTCAACAGCCATGCCAAATTGCTATGGCAAGACCACAGCCTTTTATTTACGAAAACGTCTGTGTACTCCTTTGAGACTTCTGTTAAAGGAAAAAGATGAATGTACGGTTTCCTCTTTGACTAGGTAGTCTCCTTTTACTCAGCAGTGTCCAGAGGTGGTGGTGGTGTGAGAAGCTGAAACGATGAGGTTAGCCTTAACCCATTTAACATCTTTCGTACTCGGAGTAAATGTTTACAGCTGTTTCTTTCTTAGTGGTCAGTGTTTCATACGTGAAGTCACCGGGGAGGCTGCTGTTGAAATATTTCGAAGTGGGGTATGATTCAGGGGAAGGAGCAGGACTGGAGCGTACGTACGTGGCTCGTGTGAGCGGTTATGAATGGGCAGCCGTGTGACGAGGCAGAGGGTGAGTCAGGACCCAGTGGCTTCTGAAAGAATGCCTTTTGCTCCAGCCTGCTGGGAAAATGAAAACAGAAGGGAGGGGACGGCACCACTTGGCTGGGGACTGGTGCTTCCTGGGGGGGGGTCAAGTCCGTCCCGGCAGCGGTACGGTGCTGATTCATTAGTCAGTGGGTGGTGAGAACTGAGTGCTGTCTGGGGGAGGAAATGGCCAGGGTGCTTTAGGGAGAAGGAACATTTTCTCTAACTGCAGGATGTGTGGATGGAGCGTTCAGATAGCATATCTGCATCGCATCAGTTAAATACCCTGGTGTTGTGAGATAAGGATTTACTAGAGGACAAAAATAGGATGTGAAACTGAGGTTTTACGTCTTGTGCTCAACTGTTCTCAATGACAAGAAAAAAGGTGTTTGTCTGCTTCACTTTATTCAAATCAAGTCTGGCTTCTACGGTATGAACGAGCGGTGTTACTTGAGCCAAGCCCTTGTTTTTTTTTTTTTTTTTTCTTGGAACAGCAAAGTTAACTCTCAGTTGCAGTTGGAGGAGAAGGTTACTAATTCGAATTCAGGTGAAGAAAAATAACGTAAAACATTTCAAAGAGCACCAAAGGGAAGGTGAGGTGAGATGCTGCATGTTGAAAGCGTGGCACAGAGGTCTGGTGTGTTGAGAAAGCACAAGCACAGCTCAGCTATGTTGAGCCTAATGGATTTGTGCAGCATCTTCCCAAGTTCACGTGTGTTTGTGGTGTTGCTCATACTCAAGCCAGGTAATCTGCCCTGAGATAAGAGTGTTTACTCCTCCTGGCTTTTAGGGCAGCAAACAGCATTTGTTTGAACTCTGAGAGCCAACCTGTTTCCAGCATCAAAGTAACACATCTGCTTTTCTCTTTTTTTTTTTTTAAAAAAAATAAAATAAAATCTAATGCCACGGTGGTTTATAGTGGGAGTTGTAAGTGGAAATTGTATCTTGAAGTGAAATGAAATTTTTGCGTAACAGCCACCAGAACAAAAAATCAGCTGCTTTAAGCTAGTAAGAAGTGCGGATTTCAATATGTGACAGTTTACCTAGGTCTCCAAATCTAGCAGTCTGAGTCTTACAAGCCTGGCTCCTAAATGCTCTTATTGAACGCACCAGATGGGTCGGGAATGGTTTATAAGATTATATAAATGCAGTTAATCTGGGGTTAGCGACAAAGCCTTGAAAGAGTTTTTCTAGCAAAGTCATCCTTTTATCTGGTTTTAATCCAAGTCTTATAGTTCAGTAATATTAAGGGGGGGGAATTGGGGTCTTTATAGAAATCAGGTGGCTTTTTTCCTTTGCCATCTTGCTGTGGTTGTCATCAGGCAATTTTCAGAACCGAGCTCTGAAAGTTCTTCAAAATCCAGCACAAAGTTATCTTTTAGGTGTGCTAACATCACGCGATCATAGACAAGGGCAGTAATTTATTAATGTTCTGTTAAGTTTGGAAATGGAGAGGGAACCAGCATGGCTTTATCTGAAAAGAAGGAAATGTGTGGTTAAACGGTTTTGGCTTCAGTCTTAGGTGGTTTCCATTCCCCAGAAAGAAGAGAGGGGGGAAAGGAGTCTAAATTCCTTTCTCTACAATAAAGGAAAAAAGCGCCAGTTTGTTTTATTGTGTGTAGTAATGAGAGAGTTCATGCGCAGGCACATGCAGCTTTCAGTGTGAATTACACTAAATTTGAGTGATTATATGGTAACTTCCAACTCAAATAGCTTGCTAAGAAATTCACCCTGTCAGAAGTGAAAAACATTCATTATCTGGGGTTTGATGCTAGTAGAAGCGAAGCCCCGCTGAAACCAGTGGTGTAAAGCTTTCAGGGCTCTGATTGAGGAGCAAGGGCAGGGTACCTTATGCTTTATCTCGAGAGGTCAGGCTGCTTGCCTGTGGCTTGCAAGCTGCTTTATCAGCTGCTGCTCAGCGTGCCTTGAGCAGATAGCAGGCATCAGGAATCACATCCCTTCTGTCAGCTCCTTCCCCGTGTGCCCTCTTGACTTCTGAAAACTTCCAGCAGTGCTTGGGCTTCAGGTGATGCTCTGGGTACTGGCTTTGAGGCACTGAGCCCTCGCAGCTGCACCTGAGCTACCTCTGCTTGCTCTGAGCTACCCAAAGCTTGCATGGACTGCGTGAGCAGCTGCAGGGTAATTGGACAACGCTGTTGAAACATGGCAGGCAGTGACAGCCTGATAGTCCTAGTCGAATAAACGAGTGAACAAACAAACAAAAAAATCCCTTCTGGGCAACCTGCAGAGCTAAATGTTGTCATTTCCCATCAACATTCCCAGAAATCAAAAAATTCCAGGTTTCTGCTTTGGGCCAAAAGTTTGGGGAAAGTAAGTGAAAGGTAAACTCTAAACTGAGATCAGCAATTTTTTTAGAAAAAAACAAGCAGTGTTAGAGTACAGGTTGTCAGGTCTGTCAAGACCTGTAGCTGGGTTTATGCTGCTTTTTTCTCATTCAGTTATTCTGCGTTGTTAGAAGAGAATGGCTCTTGATTTTAGTGGCCCCTCTCTCTTTGCCTTCCACTTCTAAACCAATTAAATGCATCACTTCGATGACGTGCGTACCATCATTGTATTTCTTGCGGGATGAATGAGCCAAGACTGTGCTGAAAGGGAGTGATGTTGTATTTAGCATGTACGAAATGATTAATCTTGAAAGGAGGGCTGCAGGAGGTGGTTTCCTGGCAGTCCACGTCTTACTCATGCTGGTTCTGTCTCCCCAGCTCCCAGGGCCTCGGCTGGCAGGTCCCTGCAGCAGGGATAGGTGGGACAGCTGGACTGAGAGCTGAAGGACAGAAAACCAGTGCATGTTCTTTGTGGAGAGCCTGCAGTAGGAGCTGATACCGAGATGATGTGCTTGAAATCACCTTTGTTTCTTCGTTATTCTGCTACTGCTGCATGCAGTGCTAATTAAACCATCTAGAGCGTTCCATACTGAAGTGTGGCGAGTTGTAAAAATTAAGCTCAGTGAGCAAAGTGCTGCATTTTATTGGTGAATAATGTTGCTTGTTTGCCATTTGGATTCGTGTTATTTGTCTGTTGCATTTCTTCCTTTTTATGTCGTGAAGTGCTTCATTTTACCCGGACAGCCTCTGCAGGAGGAAGGCAGGCTTCCCGTCCCGCTGCACCTCCTGGCCTGCCCTTTTTCTGCTCGAGTGCCCTTAGCTGCTGAGCGTGGAGCTGAGCGGGTAGGCACAGCCAGGGTGCTTTGAAGTGCACCGTAGCACTAAACATCAATTACAGTCTGCTGATGAGGGTTTGCCAGAGGATGAATTCAGAGCGATTAGAGGAGACACTGTGTGAAATTTCCCCTGGTGAGCCGGGCTGCTCCTGAAGACTGGCATTTTGAATGTCTCGGCAGCCTTACATCTGGAACGGGTGCTGGCCTGCGCATAGGGTTTGCCTCCCTGGCAATTCAGCATAGACAAACTTCTGTTCTGCAAGTGGTTTGGCTTGCCAAGTAGGCTGAAATAACTACTAGAGGATGAATTTTTTTTTTTCTTCATGACTTGGGTAATTTTGCTGCGTGAGGTTTTTTTTTTAAGACAGATCTCATTAACCGTAGGGTGTCAGACTTGTTTAGTGCTGTGTTTGCTTCTTGTTCAGTTTCTTTGTGGAGATTAATCTTGGCCTTTAGAAGGGGGAAATGCTTCTGTTTTAAATTACTGTATCATCCACCCTTATCTAGCTGTAGGGCCTTAAGCTCGCGCGTAATTCCTTGCTGCTGTTCGAAGCACAGATTGATGCAGGAGATGGGTTTTGATCATCTGGTGTTGCTTCTTTTGAAAAGACTTTCATAAATGCTAAAGAAGACAAGGGACGACTTTATTTTCAGCCTGGTGTGTATGTGTGATGTATTTTGCTACATTCTGTTTTGTGAATTGAGGAGGACTGAAACTGGTGCTTGCTCTTTGTTGAAAGAACTCACATACGGGGTAAAATGCAGTGCTTTTGGGAAAGAGTAAAAATGTTCGTTTAACCATTTAAATGCTCTGTGAAGGATCTTCCAGTCTGGCAGCATGCCACTTTCCCCGTGATGCAATGGTAAGCTGACAAAAAAAACAGTCACTTTAACTGGAAGCGGTAATAGAGTTCTAACCAAATCCTTGTGCACGCCAGTTTATAAAATGAGAACACAGCTCAAATTTATTCCATCGAGTACAGCAGGCAAAAGTTTCAGCATTCGCTTGATTAAAACGAGTTCTTGGAAAGGAGGCAGGAGAAGCTGTTAAGTGGAGTCTCATGTTACCAGCTGGCCTGGGTGTTCTTCTAAGAATACATATAGAAGCTTCCCGCATCGCTATTTTCATTTTGCAGGCATGTGTTTAATGCCTTCAAACTTACAGCGTGTGCTTTGCTTTTATTTCAGGTGTACTTGAAGGCACCTATGATTCTGAATGGTGTCTGTGTAATCTGGAAAGGCTGGATAGACTTACAGAGACTGGATGGTATGGGCTGCCTGGAATTTGACGAAGAGAGAGCACAGGTAAGACAGCACGCCTGGGCTGCTCTGCCTCAGATATTTCTTCTCCTGGAAGACAATGTGCAGTCAGGTAGCAATCACACGTGGTAATTTGCTTGCTTTCTGCCTTCTCTTTGAGTACAATTCCAAAGAATACTCACAGTACAGAAGTTCAGAAATGTGGTTGTAGCTAAATCAGTGTTTTAATTACAGTAAAACATTAGAGGCAGGAATCTTACAGCTTACAGCTGTAGCTTACAGCTTTGTGGAGTGGCTTAGTGCTATTACTATTCTACAGAGTAGTAAATCTTAAAGTATTGGGAAAGCTATTACTGTAACATGAAGCAATTTAACTGGCAAGTCTTTTCCAGTTCATTACTTTTTTTTCCTAAGTAGCTTTTTTGTTTTATTACATGGTGTTGTAGTGAGGAGAGGAGATCAGGGACTCAGAACAAGAGGGGCAGGGATGAATAGAGCTTTTTCATCTGCTCTCTGTAACAGTGGGAAGCTGCTTTAAGGTATGGCAGCTTTTAAGAAACCTGCTTCCTATCTACCTGCTTCCTACCACTGAAGTGACTTTTAGCAGCTGGATCTTTGGACATGTGCAAGAAGAAAGCAAACACAGAGGAAATAACTTTTTAAGTCTATATAATATCACTTGCACAGCTGTAGGAATCCTTAATTTATGTAGACTTAAAAAGCAAATAATGTCTGTCTTAAGTGAACCTTGGTAACAAAGTTACTTAACTGATATTAAAAGCTGCTGTTCCATTCTGTGTGGGCCTCCACAAAGATCAGGATATACTTCAACATGTCTTTGCACTTGACAGTAAGCTGGATACATCAGTTACCAGGCTTGTGACTTAGAATCTATAGTTTATGGTGAACTCAGTAGTTCGTCTTGTATTTTGAGAGTTTAGAAGTGTTAGGATAACACAAAAGCATGGCTTAAAGTGCTTCTAAGTACGAATTACCTTTACTTTCTTTTAGTGCACCCATCCCCTTTCATTCTGATCAATGGGAATACATTTACATAATAAAAATTGCAAGGTAAATAATTGCAGAAACATCTACACCTGAAGTAGTCTTTGTATTTTCTCTTGCAAACATTGGTTCACATGGTAGAAGAGTTTAGGAGCATGATTTGGATTTGTTCTGGAGGGAACTGAACAGAAGGACATCCTTCAGAACCACATCACATGCACTTTGACCTCTAACAGGTCAGGCTAGGAAGTAAAGTCCAAAGCAAAACCTTTTACAGTGAGCACAATGTGGATGTCAGGTTCTCACTTGACTTTATAGGTCCTCTCCTGGTGAGCTGCACCACATTTATTGCAGCTGTTAGCTGTAGCCTTTTCTCTGTGAAGGAAATAATCCAGGCAAAGATGTGTGTGTATGATATGCTCACTCATGACTCCAGTCAAATTATCCTTAGAATAATGATTTTGACGTGAACACGTGAACCTGGGCGATGTCTGTCTAAATGCTTCTGACCAACTGTGCTTTCGCTGTTTCTTTTTGGGGTTTGTAGCTCTCCGGGGGCTGCTTCTGGCAGTTGTGCTCTAGAGATGCTTTAAATAAGGATGCATTTTCTGTTTCTGCTGTGTGCATCTTGTTCTCAGCTGTCCTCAGGGCTTCCCTTTTAGTCATTCTGAAGCCACACTTGGTCACTACTTAATAAATAGCGACCCTGTAGTTCCAATTAAATGCAAGGAGCGCTCCTCTGTTCCAGATGCGCAGAACTGGAGGCCATATTAATTAATTAATTGGTTTCCGTTCACGAGTTCAAAGTATGTAAATCAGATTTTATGTGAAGATGTGTAGTTGCACACTTTGCGGTGCCTTGCCTCTCCCAGACTTCAGAAACCAATTAACGCATTAGTGAGATCATGTTATTGGGACTGTGTCCTGGCTTAAATACAAGTACTTCGTGTCAAAACCGTGTCTTTCAAATAGTCACAGCCCTGTGTGCTTTCTTCAGGATGTCTAGAGTAGCTGGTAGCACTGTTCTCAGATCAGTATGCCACCTTTTGTTAATCTGGGGGAGAAGCTGCAGAACGAAGCTTTCTCTTGAGTGCTGCTATTAGCGTTATAGCAGCCTTCTTTTCCGAGCTGGGTGTCAGCATTTGAGATAGCTACATTTCTGCTGCAGCAGAGTTTTCTTTAAAAAGAGAGTAACTGCTATAGGCTCTATGGGTTAGAACTCTTTTTGATTTTATGTTTTATACAGCAAGGTCAGATGCAGACCCCTGAGGATTGTGCAAGAAAAATCCCACGTTTCTTGGTCTGTGCCTGTCATGTCAGAACTGAGAGCGACAGGGACGTGTGCTCAGGAGGAGGTAGCGTCACCCTTCTCCAGAACTAGATAGCTCCTGAAAAACGTGGGCAGCCTTCCAGCAAGAAAGGGTGGTCAAGTGACCTGTGGGTTCAGTGCTTCTCATCTAATTTCATGACATGTTTTTGCATGCTCTTGGATTATTTTAGTTCCCTGACATGCATGCTTGGTTTCAAGTACACTTAAGAATTCCTTATTGTTGTCTTCAGAGGGTATTTGTGCACTGAGCATATGATTTATTTATTTTTTTATATTCCCTCACCAAAAAAAAAAGCATGCACACTCTCAGATGCCAGTGCTTTCTTGTATTTCATGTTCAGGGTGCTGAGCTGGAGGTATTGCACAGGGTATCTGCAGAGATACACTTGCACTTAGCTACAAGTGTGTAATCAATTTTCAATTCATGGTTCTTAGCATAACTAGTTAAGGGTATGTTAAGTTCAAGTCAGAGGAAAAAAATACTGAAAATGTAAAAGATGTAAAAACTTCAATTGTTTTTCTACACGTTTCCCCAAGGTTTGCAGTACTAACAATCTTTTACATTCTTTAGTTTCCCTTTTCCTGTATCTGCCATTTGTTTCCTCTCCTAGAACTGTTTTAATACTGCTAGTGACAATTGATCTAACTGTTGATGTTGATACCAAAATAACACTGGTGTCAGAAGTGGTTCAAGTGCTTCGTGATACGTGGCGTAGTATCAGTAGTGCCCGTTGTTTTGTCATGTGAGGTCCTACCAGTGTTCGTTGCTCCCCCCACCCCTGCCAGTTTTGGGTAAGCTTGCCTTACACAAATCTAATGCTCTTGCATTTTCCAGTCTCTTACCGCTACTTAATAACTGATACTGGGTCAGCTACTTTTTTTCCTTGCTGCCACAGTTTTGGAATGATACTATCCTTCAGCAGGTCAAAAAATACCTCAGGAAGGAAAGCTGCATGCATAATAAAGTACTTCAATTGTAACTTCTAAGCTAGTGCTCTTTCTGTTTAATCCATTCATCTATTCCTGCTAACCAACCTTATCTTTTGTTACTGGAGGCCCAGATTCACAGCTGCTTTATGAGGCTTCGCTGGGCTAATGAACATAAAACTCCATGTAGGTGCTTGGGTATCTTCCCCACCTGGGTCTGAAACTTCTCTAAATTTGGTCTTTGTCTGGAGCCTCACTAAAAGGCTGTTACCTCAGTACTTTTGTATCTCTTCCGTAATACCACATTCTTGCTATGTAGTTGCTGTAGTTATAAATTATTGTCCTTAGAAAGGCTTTTCCTTCTGGACTCTGGTGATTGGTAGGTGGGGATATGGGTAAGTCTCTGGAGTTTATTTTTTTTCTGATTTGGGGGCTGTTTTACTCTGTTCTCACATTGATATGGTTCATGCTTGCATATTCATTTTATTAGTAGATTCATAGCAGGAGCATTTTTACTGAATAAAAGTAATATTTATAGGCTTCATACCGCAAAATTTGCGAGGCTGTAGTTACTAGATTTGGGTGACATTTGAAAAAGGGTTGTTAAACTCGTGTTGTATGAGATTCTGAGACATTTAACTTCTCTCATAACACATCACCAAGACCAGAGCAGATCTTTTTTTTTTTTTAACTTAACCATAAAGCATCAAAATGTAACTTCTTTCTTAGACTTTAGTAAACCAGTTTTTCAGTTGTCAACACACTACCACGCTGATTATTCTCTGAAATTTTAACTTAGTATTTTTTTGGTTACAAACATTTTTTTTAAATATCCTGGCTGAGGCTGTTTTAGCTTCTTATTACGCTTCAAATGATGGTAAAAATGTAGAAATCTTGTACAGAAAAATCCTTTTTTATTTAAATCTACCTCTTCCCTCCAAAAAAGAAGTACTAATGACATTTTATGTAGCTTTATAAATTAGAAACAAGGCAACTTTTCTGTAGTCATCAGAGACACAAACCTACCTATTTTATCTCTATCCTTGTGTGTCATTAAGAGCAAACTTCCTGCTGTCTGACATTGGTTGTTACGTGTTGCATAAGCATTAAGATATAGCTAAAAAGGACTGAATTCTACTTTTAAAAATAGTAGTGTCAAACCTACCTTTGGGCAGCTTTAAATGTTGCCTTTCAGCATAGCTTTCAGGGGAGCTGGCTGTGCAGTTATTGACTGACAGCTGTTTGTATTTAACTGTGTTAGGCCACGAGGGGCACTCATTCACATCACTTCACAAAGTAGCTTCAGGGTGCATGATTGTGCCGTTGGCAAAAAAAGCAATTTAACATTCTCTCAGACTAGAGATGTTTTATCTGAAATTAAAAAATTTATGCACTTAATCCCTTGGTGTATTAAAACTTCGAGTTCTCACAATGTTTTTGTCCTCTCCCAGTCAAGGTTAGGGTTTTTTCTGTTTTTTTTTTATTTTTATTTTTTTTTTAAAGAATTGTAGACTTGAAAATAACATTTGTGTGTATGCGGGAGTGATAAGCAGAGTTAGCACTAATTACAGGTGGAAAGTTATGAGGGAGGAAAGACAATACAGCTTATCACTTACTGTTCTGTTGATCCTTTGAGCATTAATTAAACATATTCCCATGCATAAGCCACTGCTAAAAATAAACAATAGGGTTGCTGAAGGATTCCTCTGCGCTTTATGTGCATACGTACAAATTAGTGAAAGAGTAACTTCTGCTTTGCATTTTGCAGCTAAACCTGAACAATTTAAACGCTATGTAAGGATTATGAAGTATGTTTGTACTGGCGCACCTTCAGCAGCTTTTGATAAAACGAAAGATTAAATTGGTCTGTAGCTTGGGTAATACCTTTTTTCTTTTTTTCAAAGGAAGATAATTAAATTGCCATTATGTATATCATGATGCCAGTGAACTGTCTCGATATACTTGTGAATACTGTCTTCAAAATGACTTTTACAAGGAGGATAAAATGTATTGCCTCTTTCCTATAACTTCTGAGAATTTCTAGCTTTCAGACGATTAAGCAGCATTTTAAACTACTGTTGAAAATCGGTTCTCCTTTGGAAATGCAGTTAAGTAGTAGGTGTGTTGCAGCTTTGGTTACCTCTGCCATAGTGATGAAGGTAGGTAGTAATTCATTAACCTATATGAGCAATTCCTGAACTCATCTGTGTTCTAGCAGGTTCCTCAGGGGACACTAGTCTTGGCCGCTGTCAAATGATTCCCGATATTCAAACAAAATGTAGTGTGGTGAAAGTTAGGGTTGCTTTTTGTGTCACTCTCTGTCATCTGTTTTGGTAGCAGGAGGATGCATTGGCACAGCAAGCCTTTGAAGAAGCTCGGAGAAGAACTCGCGAATTCGAGGATAGAGACAGGTCTCATCGGGAGGAAATGGAGGTGAGGGTTTCACAGCTGCTGTCAGTAACTGGTTAGTACTTTCCCAAACTTTAGATTGTTTGCATTGATTTGTCTGTGTGTACAATGTTGTGGATTTTGTTTGTTCAATTTTTGTCGTGTAAAAATCGCAAAATGTGTTGCTTTAAACTCTCCTAAGAAGGAGTTCCAAATGTTCAAAGTTGACAAGAAATCTCCAATTTCTAACACTTTATTCCTTTCTGTAGATGATCTATGGGTTTTTTTGGTGGGTACTTAAGGTGCGAGGCTACACTTGTGTTCGCAGAGCTGCCATCTCACTGTCAAAGGATGCTTTGATGGCAGCTACAGGCATCTTTTGCCTCCCATGCGTTTCCTATGGGTGCAGAAAAGGCTTGGGAAGCTGCTGGCAGATAACTTTGTAGCTAGCTGGCTGTTCCATGTTGCAGAATACATAACCAATTAACTTAATCAGATACTAGTCAAACTCTAGTTTTCTTCTCACTTTGTTCTTGCTGGTGGGGAGTCTTACTCCTCTCCTTCCTTTCAGTGGCAGGAGAGTGGGGTAGTTCCCACTACCTTGTGCTTTGCCCTGCAGTCTTAAATGTTCTTTTTTTTTTCCCCCTCAATGAGAGCAGAAATTACTGGGATCTAGAAAAGAGGAGCCAGAAACAGGAATGGAAACCAGCTGCTCTAAGATGTCAGTAAGGCAGGAGCTGGAAGAGGATGAGTAGTACATAAGGAGAGCTTCCAAGGCAAGTTAAGGCAGCCTGTCAGTCAAGCAGAGGAAAGGATAAGACAGAAGGAGTTTGAATTTATTTCCTTTGCTAACTTCCCTTCTTACTCCCTGCCTTATCAGTATGGTCTGACCTTAATCAAACATGACCAATCTGCTGCTCCTCAGGGTTTTGAAAGCTTTGTTGTTGTTATACTGCTAAACTGCTTTTTTTCTGGCATCTTCACTGATAATTGAGGTGGTTGGGCAGGCTTTCCTTCCTTCCAACTGAGAGTGGAAGGCATTGAGCGTGACAATGAGAGGGAAGAGAGATGCAGAGAAGAATAACCATCACTTTGAAGAGGTGGCCAGTGTTCTTTTACAGATGCAGATGTGGCTAGGTCAGATGTCAGCTGTTGCAAAACTAAAATCCTTGCCTTTAAAGCTTCTCTACCCCCAGATCCTTATAAGAGCAAGACTACCTGGATCATTTTGTCTCCAGTCACACCGTTGCTGAAACCTGCTTGTAAGTTGAGTTCAGAAGGAAGTTAATCTTGAAGCTTGTCATGCAGATTTGAGGCAGCCTGCCTTAATTTTAATAACACAATAGGAACTTTAAGACCAGCTTTAAATCTTTGATCTTAATTTATATATCAAGTTTTGCTTGATTCATTTTCCTCTACCGTGCCCTTCTTACCTATTCCTGTTACTCTTCTTGCTGAATGCTGAAGCTTTAGAATATCAAAAGGCTTCCTAGAATAACTCTTGCAGTTCTGTGGGACTTGTTCTTTCCTCCAAGTGTAGAAACCCCTTATCTGCATCTAAGATGCACAGAAACTTTCAACTGACAGCGAGATTGAGGGAATACCAAGCATCTGTGGCTTCACAACAGACATCAAAGCTTGTGACACCGAGGTACACAAAAATCAACATCCCTGGCCATCTGCAGGAACTGGACTCAATAACTTATGAAAATACTCTTGCTTTTAATAACATAGCAGCCAGTTGTTAATCAATGATGTCCTTAATTAGCTTCCAATACCCGTTTTCTATTAAAACAAGAACAGCCGTTGTCCATCTCGGAAACCCTGGCATGGATCACCTACAAAAAGGAAGAAAAGGAAAAATAAAGGATTTGAAATGTGCTTAAGCAGAATAAAAATGAATTGCCAAATTAACTTCAAATTTATTTGATACCAAATAGAGATTTTTTTTTAATTAATTGCAATACATTTTGCTATGTGTGTTTTTATTTTTATTTTACTGTGCATGTTTAATATGTTTAACCAAGCAATCTTTCCTCAGTTACTTGTAGGTCTGACTTTTTTTTTTTATATTTACATTTTCTTATTTGTATGTTTGGGGGAAGACTTCCTGGCTACATACCTAGAATGTTTACAGATGAGGTTTTTCACTCTGGGTGTCAAAACTCCCATAAAAATTGGGATCTGGGGGCTGGGGAATAACAGACTTGCAATAATGCATTCCTCAGGAGTAATCAGGTTTCCAAATCATTGTCTGGGTGACTTCTTTGCAGTTGTATTCTAATGCAGCTTTTCAGCAGAATGAAAAAAAATTAGTGTTGCTGTGTTTGTTGTATTTATGGCCTCTGAATTTTCCAGTGCTTACAGTCTTGGTCAGCTCAGAATTATGGTTTGACAGTTACAAAATGTTAGCCCGAACTGTGTTGTGGACTGTTTGTGTAATTTCAGTAGTTCACACTGTATCTTTGGTTGCACTACAGAGATGGTACTTGAAGATTTTAGAGGGCAGTTAGAAAAGGTAGTTCTAAGCATTATGAGTGCCTTTTTGTTACACTACATACAGATGGAGTTCCCCACAGCATAGACTTTTTGATGTTATCTGCACATCTCATTGTTAATAAAACTTCAGATTTTTTTTTTCCTGCTAAGCATGGCATGGACAGTGAAACTTGGAATTGCCAGACTTGGACCAGGATTGCATCAGCATTAGGGATTGCTTGAGGAATTGCGACACTGTCTGTATAAAAGCAGATTTTTGACTGTAGAATTAGAGCTGAAATGCCTTTAATAGAGACCAGATTCTGCTGCAGTGGGGGAGGGAAGGAGAATCCTGCAGTATTCCACCCACTCCTACCCAAAACAGAGGCGCCAGCTCTTTGGAAACATTCATCCGTCCAAAGCCTGGCAGCATATGAAAATGATCAGACTCAATTCTTTATTTATACAGCTTTGTGTAGAAAAAATTCCCTATCTGAAGTCTGTCTGTAGACTTTTAAAGCAAAGTGGTATATTCTTGCCTAGGAGCAATCCCAGCGAAAGTTCCTGAGCAGTTTAAAACAGTTGTGTGGGGCAGCTGGAGAGATTTGTATGGTTGTATTTTGAAAGGAAAAAATTGCAAGTGCAGTAACACTTAATAATGAAAAGTAGAATACTGATCATTCCTTAAGTGTCCTCTCAGAATTAGTAGTGGCTGCTAGGTTATGCTTGATTTGTTTTCCAAACGTGATCATATTTTGGTCCGGTTATAGCATTCGTCCTAATATAAGTAGGATGTATTACTCTTGGGTGTGAATGGCTTCAGGAATTTTGCTTTAAGGTTTTAAGCAAAATGTGTTTAAAATGAGTTGCAATGTGTCCTGTTATACTTGCGACATGTTTCAGTTCTGAATCTGAGATGGGTTTGGTTTTTGTCAGCTTATGTAGGTTGGTCACATCGGATACCACAAATCCTGCCTCACTGCATTCAGAACTCCTTTGTTTCAAAGATGCTTCTGAAGTCAGAGAGTGTTTTTAATTACTGCCTTCAAAATTAATAATATATTCTAATGACTTTCACTTTTTACAAAAATGTCAGCATGCTGAGACAGTAAGGATTTAATAATACACATGAAGGAAGACCTTATCCCCAGGTGAAGCCTACTGTAAGAAATAAATAACTGTCTGAAGTTTCATAAGCTTGGGAGCACCGAGCTACTTGGCAAATGCATGCTGTTCAGTGACTTCACACCAGCTGAAGGCCAAGTTCTCTCTCCATAAGCGAGCACCACACCATGGTGAACTTGGTCCAAGGCCATCCTTTTAGCCCTGTATTCAGGAACTGATGCCATTAAGCAGGTACATGAACTTGAAATATTTGTACTTAGTTTGGCAGAGCGGGGCAAACAGAAGAGACTGAAGAGATAGCAGGGATGGCAGCAAGGCAGATGATGATTTTCATCATCTCTTTATCCCTTTTTCTTGGACAAGAGAGTCAATACCTGCGTTCCCTTCTGTTTGGTGTGGTTTCGGTATGAATGACCAGAGTGCAGCCTCACGATAAGAAATGCTTGCTGGAAATTACCATGAGGTTGCTGTCTAAAAATGCTTGAGTCTTCCAGTAAAAACTTACTGCTTTTTATTCAGCATTCTGACTGTAGTAATGTGAAGCAAAATGTGTCCAGAATGACTTTGAGAGATTTAAACAGCCCCCGTTTGGTGAAGCTGGGATACCCTGAAAGTAACAGCCAGTCCAGGAGGAGTAGCCCTCAGCGCCTCCTGCCAGCTGGAGAGAAAAGTATCAAGAAAAAATAATCAAGCCATGAATTTTCAGCAATGAATAAGGAGTAGAGGGTATCCTGTCTGTTGTTATACTTTCAGATACTTCTTATGACTGTTTAGGTAGGGCAAACGATAGCTTTAAAACAGAAACAAAAAGTTACTTGAGTGCACAGTGTGCCCCACTCTTTCTCTTTTGCTTAGCCAAATGTGTTCTACAGTTTGGTTTATTTGGGGGTGGGTTGGATCTGTTGTCGGTTTTCGGATGTAATTTGTTTAGCAGGCATTTTTGAAATGTAGTATTTGTCTATTTTGTGTTCATTTCCCATCTTACTGCCATGCTTTTTGTTTTAACAACAATGCAAGTAGAGGCAGAGTGATCTGCTCGTCCCTGAAACAGCGTAGTCTAGCAATTTGTCTGTTTGTGGTCTTGTGCTAAATATAAATAACATTAATGGCGAAGCAGAGCCATTTTAGGAAACTGCATGAAATTCTCATTTAAAAAACCTTCACATTTTGTTGGGGGAAAAAAATGTTTTGAAACTTTTTGTTGTTTCTTCCACTAGAAATCCCTCTCAATTCAAAGCACCGTATTTTTTAAAGCAAACAGTTCACAATTGAAACAAAATCTAGTAGTAGGCCTCATTGTTGTCCAGGCTTCTAGGAAGCGAAGTTATTCTCCCTGCTTAAAGGAAAAGAAGCAAGATGAAACTACCAGTGTAAACAACTGCCCTAATTATAGGTATCTTGTTAGGGTACAACTTGCTTCAGCAGAAAAGACAGTATTCCAGTCAGTTTTCTTTTTTCCTATGTGTTCCTCATCAAACTCCGACTTGAGTTTTTCCTCAAAAAAATAATCTGGAATGAACTTAATTACTACTAATTGTGTACTCTCCAAAATGACATAAAATTCCATCATTTAGTCTAAACTTTATCAAAGCTTTTTGGTTGTGAAAGGAACCCAAACCGTTACTTGGTAACAGTGGGGAGTGCAGCCTTATGTATGTGTATGTATATATATATGTGTGTGTGTGTGTGTATAGAGAAAATGTTGTTGATATTCAAGATGCATGCAGCACAACTGAGGAGAAAAAAGGCATTAAAGCATGTGTGCGTGTGAATATATGTTGCCCGAAAGGGTCCTGTGATGTGCATGCAGTACCAGTAGGCTGGTAACGTTATGACTAGATCGTTTCTCAAGAACTTCTAAACAGCTGAGATTTCTGTAAAAGTGCTAGGGAATGCATATATTGGAAAAAAACAATTTGTGCTGTACAGAATCAATGCTGGGTATAGTATGGAGGAGATCAATTTTGCAAATCAGGGAATAGTGTAATATAAGCATCTTCCTTCAGTCAATGAAGGTTAGAAAGGGGCTGAGCAACAGAGGAATACTGTCTGGAGGCAATCAATGTTAATTATAAATTTATAACCTTTATACCAGCCTTCAAACAGTACTTTCTAAAAGGAAGCATTTTAAGCTTTTTTTCTAGTTTTCAAGCAAAAGTTTAAATTTTACTAGGCTGTACTTGCAGCTCTTAAGGGCTTACTCTGTTCGCATGTTTTTTTCAGTCCAGTTACCAGTATGGAGTACTAAAATCAGTAGCATTGTCATCGATTTTAAACAAAGATAAAACAGTTGCAAGGACTTCAGGCAAGTGAATTTGGAATTCGTTATTAAACTGCGTGTACTTGGTCTAGTTGTGCTCTGTAACCCTGTAGTAGTTGCTGGTGAGAGCAGGCTCAGCATGTAACACAACTGCTGTGTGCTTTTAGGTTCTAGGAAGTAGATCTCTAGAAGCTTGAAATGAAGTCTCGACTGAGGTAGGTGCTAAATGATTTTAATCTTTGACAGGAAAACTGTATTTTGCCTTTCAGTGAGCAGAAAAAGCAATGAAACTTGATACAAGAATAAAATAGCGCATTGGGTACAGAGGTTGTAACAGTAATGGTTCTGTAAGGACTCCAAATGTCCACATCTCTTACCAAATTTGAAAGGATTTTCCATTATTGGAGTAATTTAAGCGGTACTTGACATAGTTTAAAAAAAAAAATAAATCAAGATGACTACTTCATCTCAGGTTTAGGTGGAACCGGCTAGGGCCAGCAAACAAAGAACTGCTGATGCTGGATCTGGGCTGTGGAGTCTCTAAGTATTTCTCTAAGTATTTTTCTCTCTGCTTCTGGTTCTTTGTTTGGGTGTTGGTTGTTTCTTTTGGTTTGTTTTTTTTTTTTTTTTCCTTTTGGTCTTGCGGTTGTATGCTTTTTAGAAAAGTATCTGCAATGTGTTCTCAAATTTTTTTTTAAATCCTTTTCAGGAGGTTAACAGACCTTCTAAGAGAATCCAAATGTTCACTGTTTAGTTTTTCATAACGTAGCCTGATTTTTCACTTATTTAGTAAATTATAGATGATGGATGCCAAGGCACATAATGCATCTGCACCGTCTGCTTCAGCAGGATGGAGCTGCCAGCATGCAATTAAAGAATTGCAATGGGGTTGTACATGGAATGGCTTTATTTAGGCTACTCTTTGTGGCAGCCCTTCTTCAAATTATCTCCCAGTTTCTTCTTCCCTTCCTCCCTTCCCCTACACAAGTGTCCCATTATCTGTTCCTGCTGAACTGCTGGTAAAGAGAGGTGAAGATCTGTGCCCCAAAACCTCCAGAGAGTCAGGATGCCCAAGGGAGGGAGACACCTGTGGGTATGAATTGGCTCTCATCAGTGACTGCCACCCAGCACACGTGCCTGACAAGTCACATCTGAGGATTTGCAGAGGGCTTGCTGCAGGGTTTCAGGCTGACAGAGGGGAGTGAACAATATTAAGCATGGAGGAATCGAGAGCTGGTGCAAACAGGACTAATAGGAGTATTCAGTTGCATTGTTCCATTATTTTCATGAGTAGGGTGTAGTTACAGACTCAAAGGCAGCTTAAGCAGTTCTGCTGGCTGTATTGAAAGCATGACCAACAGCAGGAGGAGGATGGTGTCTGACTGCCTTGGCTGCTGGAGGAACTGCTGGTGTGTGCGCCTTCCTCCGGAGTTGTCATTACTCTTAGATCTGTCTTACCCAAGTGTCCTATTGTAGATGCTCCAGCATGATCCCTGTCCAAAAGACTCAACTGTAAGCTGATGTTTTGATGGCTTCAAGCTATCTAATTTAATGAGAAGAAAATTAATAAAATACAGATCCTGCTACATCATACTCCTGAAATGACTTTTAGCCCATACTTAGGCTTGGGAAGAGCTCAGAGATGTAGGGTTGAAGAGAGCTGAGGTGCAAAAGTAGCATCGTGGGTGCTTCTTGCCGTTGTTTACCATCAACTCATACTGCTCTTGTTAGTAACTTCTACCTTGTTTATTAGGATGTTTTTCCCCCTGTGGTATCAGCAGATGAATTCGGCGTAAATAAATCTAGAATAGCATACTATAGGAGGCTTTGAAACGTGTTCTTTTGCCAAACAAGTTCCTGCAATTCTTGCAGTCAGTCGTCATGCCGTCTCCTACTTTAGAGGTTTTAAATGGCTCGTGGCCAGTCGTAATTCCTTCCGTATTGCAGAAGATTTGCATGGCTTCATGCGCTGAAAGCTGAGCACGAAGTATTTTTGGGTATTGAAACTCCCGACATGTCCTTTGTCTTAACCATTCAATTTCAGGATATTTGGAAGGAAGCTGGCAAAACTGGTTAAAATACATTCATTTTCAGGAAAATCCCAACTGCCGTGGGGTCCGTGTGGTATTTACAAGTTTATCCTGCCAATAGTTGTGACCCTTTCAGCTGAGTAACGTTCAGAGTAGTCTTCCTTCAAACTTAAAATCAGTATTTGACTGAAAATTGAAATACGCTGAGATAAGATGAATAACTACTGTTTTCTCATGACTCATTACGCATGACTCATGGCAGCGTACTCCATTTCCTCGTGGCAAAGATAGATGCATCTTTTTTAATTGAAACAAGTCTCAGTCTTTGAGGAGCTGAGCTCATTATTCATAGAGAGCAATTCTCCTGCTTCTGCAGGGCTTCATAAGATATGCATTTCAAAAATTACAGCGAATGCTGCAATTCAGAGGATTGATTAGAGTGTGGGGGACCCAAAATGAGAGATTTCTGGAAATTGCTAGTTTTATGTCCGTAAAAAGAACGGTCAGCTTCCTTCGACAGGCTGAGGTGACCTGCCAGGTACTGCCATGCAGGTGGGTGTTAAGAATTTGGGGGCATTTCTTATGAAAGCTGTATTTTGCCCTTTGTCCGTGGCCAAAAACATCACCTAATTCCTGATGCTCTACAGTGTGCTTGCTGTCTGCGTACGTGGTGAATCCTCCTCCTCTTCATGAGTATTTGTAACTTTTACATAGATGCATGGTGCTTTTAACATGTAAAGCACTCCTGTAGTCATTCGTACTGTGCCCGTGTGCCTTGGTGGGGCAGTGTCTGGCAGAAGGAGCATGTTTCATGTGCATTCCTGCACAGTGGTACAGTGCAAGTAGTTGAGGGCTTCTGAGAGAGACAGAGCTGTCATTCCAACACATAGGAGCTGCACATGTAAATCCCCACTTACTGAAATGCAAAATTACACCTTTATCCACATGTGCTGCTCTAAGACATTGTAATGACTGCTTTCAGTACATTTGAGGGTAATTTGTCATGCCTTTTGCATATCGCTTGAAAGGGCAAATCTGGTAGTTGTTTGCAGAAGCCACTACTGAACCCTTCAAGTAGCAGCGATCGCTTGAATCATGTGAATTCTTTCATACAGTTTGAAAGGAAAGGCCCCTTTAGGCACAGCATAAATGCAACCATATGCCCTTACCTTGGAGTCTTTGCTGAATTTTGACAATAAAATTGCTGTGTTTATGATTACTTTGCTGAAGAAGCAGCTCTGTTGCTTTCAAGGCAGAGAGACAGCAGCAATTAACTTGCTGTCCTTCTTTAGTAAGTGTAAAATATGCTTGATTACAAAATTGATAACTAAATAAATGAATATAACTAGGATTATGGTAACATGTAAGGACTGTGTGCCTTTATTTCTCAGAAGAAACGGGAGGCAGTTAAAATGAGAAGAAACCTTGGCACGATCTGGTCAGTGGGAGAAGTGTATGCAAAGTGGAACTGTTACCCTTTTGTTACTTTTAGTGCAGCTCTTAAGTTGGTGCGGAAGCATCTGTTTGGACTTGCAGAACAACCATCTTGTGTTCAGAAAAATCATTACATCCCAGTTTGGTTTTCTGACAAAAATAAAAATAAAACTAAAGCGTGGCATTCATTGTTAACTTTGCCTATTGGTATCACTGGATAAGGTGAATGATTTGGGTTTTGAAAATAACACGAAAATCGCAATTAAATGCGGTTTCCTACAATTCTGCATCTCTGCTAAGAAAGCAGTTTGCGAAAGTTGCTTGAGTGGCTGGAAGGAGTGTGCTCATTAGCATTCAAAATCTCGAGCGCTGTACATGAGTGCACCTGCTTGTGCTACAGTGATCCCTCCGATTACTGAGAAGTCTGTGGGTTTGTGCCCCAACAGGGATGGCGGTGGTTGTTTTCGGTGTTCTTCTGTGCGTAGGCAAAAGGCTGCTTCCTTCAGTCAGGGTACAGCCTGCGTCAGTGGAACAGAGGGAGAAGATCTAACCCATGGATGTCTAAAATCCAACAGCAATCCTATTTATGTACTGGACACATAAACTTACCAGGTACTGCTTGTGGTATTGAAAATAGTGACCGTGTTTCCAAATCAGCAATGGCAACGTGGCCACCAAGAGGTGCAGGAGGGAGCGTCCTCTTTGGAAGCATGCTGACAAGTAGAGGGGTTTATTAATGGACGTGGTACCCATCAGAACGGGATCATTGCACGGGAAAGGCAAATGTGACTTGAAATCAGCATTTAAATAATGGAAGGAAGCACGACTCCGTGTGGGTGAAGCCAGCCAATTGTGCTGGCAGTGTAAACTTAGCCAGATGAGAGGAATGGTAGGTAAGGGAGGAAGAAGTGAGCAAGAATTGAGCATGGAAAGCTGCAGAAAATGGTGCTGGCAGGCCAGGCCGGCGGGTTTGGGAGCTGGCAGACGCGGCTCGCTTGCAGTTGAGCATGGGAGGGAAGCAGCAGCGTGCTGTGAACTGGGCTAACCGCCCTGCGGCGGCAGGGCTTCCTCTGTGTCAGTAAATGTGACTCAGAAGAGCCCAGGGAGCATCGCGGAGCAGCCGGCGTGTCGCTGTTAGTCACTGCTTAGCTGAAATGCCCGTATTGTTTGGTGGCATCGTGTGAACCCGATAATTGCCTAAGCCGCGCATATCCCGGTACTGCTGCCCGCACTGAGCCTGTCCAGCCCCTTCCACCACAGCACAAAGAGCTTTCTGAAGGAGGGAAGGGTCATTTGTTTGTTTTTTGGGTTAGGTTGTTTCTTTATTGTTTTTAGTGGTTATTTTTCAGCTTTTTTTTAAGAATGCTATTTTGAAGCCCTGAATGCAGCAGGTTGCTGCAGCTGGCGAAACTCAGAGCTATGCCAGATAATGCTTCTGCAGCGATGGCTCCCCCAGCTGAAAACCTGGCACTCCTGGGGCTGCAGTGGTACTTTGAGGCTAAGGTGCCAGCTGTGCACCCTGTAAATTAAACCAAAGTGTCCACGCTAACATGTCTTAAAGTACAGCTCATATCTATTGAACGCTCCCAGAATAGACGTACTGCTTTAAAATTGAAGTACATAAATGGGTTTCAAGTATTTACCTGCATTTGTGTGTGCTACTTGAAAGCAGCCTGTGTGCATACGGAAGAGAAAAATCAAAATACTCGGGTTATGAACCCAAACCAGAGGAGGAACACACTGTTCGGTTGCAGAAGAGGTGACGCACGAGGTCTCTGGCTGTGGGGGCAGCTTGGGCCCTCTTTTTTGTGTTCAGCTGCAGACCTTAGTGGCTGACAGTTAAATGCCTGCTGCCTTAGAGGAAATGCAGCACACTTGGGATGCAGAGTGTGTGTCTGGGGATTGGTGGTGCTGGGAGGAGAAGCAGGCATCTGTGATACATGTATGTCTATTTTTCAGGTAAAGTATGAGTCCTCTATGAGAACTGATATTACTACTGACCTTCTTTAATTTCCTCTTTAAATTGCCATCAATTCAAACTGTTTAACAGAGTCATTTACTTAAAGGAGAACTGATATCACTTTTTTTTACACAGGGGCTCAATCATAAGTACCAAAGTTTTCTCAAGTTTTGTTATCGCTAACTTTATAGGTGTACCAAAGGAAGAAAAAAAACCATGCTGCAGTAAAACTCAAAATCTTAATTAAGAGCTGTTAAAATGTTTGTGTATAGATTAAATTGTACTGCTGTGTTGTTATAAGCCTTTGTTCCAGGAAAAGCTAAAGTAAATGTTGACTGCATGAATATCCAGAGGGGAGGTTTATTTGGGAATGATGTAATGTACTCTGCCATCTTGGCACTGTAGCTCTTCCCCCAAAAATCTCAATCCTGAGAAAGCTCACAGGAAAGGTTAACAGAAGGGAATTTCACACCAAAGAACATGTGTTTCAGATGAAGAGACATGAAACCCCATTGCCTTACTGTGCTGAGACGAGCCTCAGCCTGGCTGCGGGAGGGTTTCTGAGGCTGGGCTCAGAGCAGAGCCAAAGTTTGGAGCCCCTCTGCAGAGGGGGGCGGTGTGGGACTGCTCCTCAGGGAGCCCTACCTGCTGGGGGGCTGTTGAATTGAGGGGGAAAGAACGATTCTCTTGTTAACAACAAATGCATTGGTTACTGCTTCAAACTTACAGTTTCTGATTTAAAATTGTTTATGGTTGTTGTCACGTGCTTAATAAGTAAGAAATGAACTGATTACTTTGAAATCACTTCTTGGTGCTAAAAGGTGTGTTTTTTAATGCAGGCAAGAAGGCAACAAGACCCTAGTCCTGGATCGAACCTAGGAAGTGGTGATGATCTCAAACTACGTTAATCAACAGCAGCAGGCGTGCCATGGGTCTGCACACATTGCTTCTACTTGGCAAAGGATTTAATAAAAGACCAGAAACTGTGATAACTGGGTATACTATGGTCTGTTTCCTGACCTGCGGCAGTCAAAATCACCATGAACTGCCATGGTTTGCACTATGTTTATGTTACGATACCTGCATTTCCCATTTTAAGCATGTAGCCAGTGGCAATTTGAAATTTTGTTTTTCTATGCAAACTTATTTTTGTTGGCACTATTTTAGTGAAATGGAAACTTATGCAGCTATAAAAACATTTTTTTCTCAATGTAATAAAAATTGTCACTTAAAAATAGGTCAAGATATTACAGATTAAAAACTTTTTTTGTTGTTTTTTTTTTTTGTAAACTGCTGGAAGCCAATGCATTCCAAGCTTAATTTTTTTAATATGGGCTTTTGGAATTTTGATCGTCTTTATTGTGCTCCTGCTTTATTTTAGATATGCATTCTTATCTATCTTTCAGTTTTCTTTTTTTCTAAATTTGTAAGACCTAAAAACTGCTGACATTATTTTTGCATTATTTCCAAGCTTAAACCCAGTGGATCAGTGCTGTTGGAATCAGGTTTCAACCTCCGGGTCTGTAAATGTTACAGTTGCAGTATTCTTTTAACTGCTAACAATCCATTGGTTCCACTTTTTAAATGATAAAATCTTAAAATGTATATTTTCATGCATTAATGCATTCTGCCCCAATATCTGTCTTAGATTTTATTCTCTATTAAGTGAGTTTGGGCGGTTATTATACCCCTGTATATAGTACCTTACTGAAACTCATAGGAAGTCGCAGGCTGGCTTCTGTTTTATTCAGGGATTTTTTTAAATAGTTCTTAAAAAAAGGGATACTGCAACTCTACAATCAGATTCAACAGCGTGTTAAACTGGGAATAAAAGTGATCAGCTGCCAAGGTGATATGTATTAAATCATGTTTAAGATAGCTGCTTTAAGTATATTTTATATCTTATGCTTTTTGTAAAGTTGTGCTGAATGGTGAAGAGATGAGGTGGTGCGCAGCAAATCTCATACTGTGCATAGGACACTTCTATCAAATCTTATGCAAATTAAGACTACATTGCAGTAAATATTGCATTTTCTAACAGGGTAAGATTTGGGGTGAGTTAATTTGTGTGAATTGTTTTTGTTTTGTTTGGGGTGGTGGCAAATGGATTTGTTCCCAATTTTTCATCGTATCCAATATTTGACGAAAACTGATTGGAAATGTGATGTCATCTGGCGTTGTCAAAATGTGGTGCTTCCTGTACAGCCTGATTAATTAAAATGTCATGTGGATACCTTTTTAAAATAAGTGACTTAATCTCAGTGTTTTAAAAAATGATTTTGAAGGTCAAAACTCTGTATGATAAGAACGCTTTAAATCTTTATGAAATTCTATAATATAACTACATTCCTCATTAATGGCAAAAGAATCAATGTAAAAAGAGGTCTTGCAAAAATGTAAGCAGATCTCTGTGTGAAGGAGAATCTTTGTATGTTAATGATATGAATATTTAACACTCACTTAATCATGTCAGTAACTGTAAACTGTGAGAATGTCATCAAATAGAAATATTTTGATACTTCAATTTAAATGTGATTCACCTAAAAAATAACCTTTTTCACTCCGTGGCCACGTATTCTTCTTTCTCTCCTGCCCCCAAAGAAATAATTTTTCTAAAGTTTCTGCAATGAGTTATTTTAAGGGACACACGCATCCGCACGCATCCCTAGCCTTGGATCTTCTCTGCCATCTGTGTATTTTTGATGGAATAGTCTGAAGACTTACTTTAAAAGGTTTTCCTAACGGTTCAGTGGTTTTAAACCATAAGTACACAGGAAATTATGCTATCAGATATTAACGTCGCTATCTTTGTGTAAATACTGAACTTTTCCCTATCATCATTTAGCATTCTGCTGCTTACGATATCTTAATGCTGGCATTAAGATCACAAGCCCTTACCCTCTGCTGGTTAGTGCAGACTTTTTAAAGTGCATTTTAAGTTATTGATGCAATTTGATATTTTTCATAATTTCTATTTAAACTGAAGTTGCATCATCTTTCTCGAATTCATCTCCTGTAAGAGTTGCCTTAAGCTACAGGATTGCTTTTGCTACTTTTTGTGTTGTATGTTTAACTTTCATAATAAACTTCTGTGTAGTGAAAACAAGTCGCTGTAAAGTCATTTCTGACATCCTGGTACTTCAAGCTGGTGCATTACGTGTTGGTGGGAGAGGAGCAGGATGCTGGGCAATGCCTCCATCCCACCCTGACCAGGTCTTGATGGCCATGCTTGAGGCAATAGTGACATCCAGTGGTCACTTGAACCAAGCCCAATGCACCTTGTCCAGTGTTAATTCAACCCCCAGGGTTCTGTGCACACACAAAGAGCATCTTTCATCTTTGCATTTTCATAACAGCCATTAAACCTTTGTAGTTGTGCTCTTTGGACATGGAGACAAACCAAAAGGTAGTTTGCATGTTGAAATTGAGGAAATGAGGAAATGTGGTGAAGCGCTGCGGGGAAGATACGGATGTTACGTGCTACACCTGAAAGCTTCTTCTGAGGCTGCTGAAATTTTAGATGGTGTAACTTAAAGCAGCTAGTGCTGACTGATAATGCTGCTAATGGACTGAAATCATGTACAGGGGGTTGCTGGTTTTTAGTAACCAGACCTGAAGACTGCTTTGGAAGTGTTTCCATGCAAAAGGGCCAAGTATGATTTTAATTTGTGCTTCTAAAAGCTGACTCTAAGTGGATCTGAGTAGTGCCTAATGTCCGTTGCCTGTGGTTCTTCAGAAGATATTCTGTACTTCGGAAGTGTGGCAGCTCTGAAAACAAAACCAGATGCCACGCAGCGTTACTTTGGCTTCCTGAAGCTTCCAATTGCCGCTCTTATAGGAAGAGCGTGCAGTAGCTTAGTTCGCAATGCATCTTTAAAGAGCTGTTCGTAAAGCCATCAGATAACCTGGCCGTTTACTTGCAAGTTCATAAAATGATCCACTTTTCTGCCCAGGGTACATCATGAGTGGATGGCTACTTTATTCCTAAAGCCTTTACTTGTGTGGAGGCACGTGAAGGGCAGTGGTGGTTTGTCCCCTTGTTTCTCTCACCGTGAGCTTGCTTCGCAGTCACCCTGAGCAGCAGAGGGAATCTGAACAGCCTCTGGCATGAGGCACCTACAGCCAAAGGGTTTTTTTAAGCCATTGCCATCTTTTCCTTGGGGATGTCTGTGCTTGGTTTGGGAGTGAAGCCCCTGGAAACATTGGAGCTTCTTGGACTGGAGAAAGATGCCCGTGACCTATAGGGCAACCAGAGCGTGTGAAGTCTGGTAACTTCTGACTCTTTTTTTTTTAACCTCTTGCAGTTACGTGGCTTCTTCCTCACCTAAGAGAATCCATCACGTTAACTGTTCAGCCCATTTTACATTAGGTTTTCAAAACCTGAATGAAGGTTTCCTGGTCTCTTTAATGACATAACTATCAGCTGTCCTAGACTGGGCTCTCGGCCCCTCATTTTCTAGCAGGCAATGACAAAACTGAGACTGCTGGTGGAAACAGCAGCTTTTCTGTTCCTGCGCGTTTGTGGTGGTTTGTCTAATAAGAAGCCTTGGTTAGGTAAGGGCTGGAAGTTAAGTAAAGGAGACTTGGTTTCAGAGAAGTCAAAATGTCATGGCTTGACAGGATCTCAACAAGACTGTCACCTTTCTTTGCCCACCATTAGTTCAGGCCACCACTTTATTACAGATGCATTTAGGAATCCGTCCTGTCTGCACCAAAATAGGACTGATTTATTTAAAGTACGTTAGTTTGTTAGCACATTTCCAATGCAAATGAGCGAATTACAAAAGTGGCTTCGAGGATGAGAATTACAGCAAGAAGTTACAGCAGAGTTGTACATTTGCATAGGCAACATTTCTCATAACTCATTTGCCTTGCATCCTGTCTGCACGCTGCAACAACATGTAAATCCCGGTGCATGCATATTCATCAGCTGCTGCACAGCTCACAGCTGCTTAGGCTCACGGTTTAAGTAACTTTATTAAACATCTTAGTTACAGATTGAGATAAGTGAGTTTCCAGAATTGCCTCAGGCTCATTTCTTAAAGCTCGTGAGTGGGGAAAAAAAAATAACGCAGAGAAGCTGTGTGCTAACTCGGTCACTGCTGTGATCTCCCAGTAGGCGGCCCTGGAAAACCCAGACACCTGCAAGAAGGGAAGAAGCTGAAAACGGGAATGTTTCTTGCTCAGTCTAGTCCACAGCTTGTCAAAGCTGGTGAGGCTTCTGCTAAATCTTTGCTGGTGCCCCTAATTCTCCTGGTTAGTGACTGTGCTTTCCAGTCTGTGAGACTTGATGGTGCTGTCTTAAGGGAAAGTGGGTTTCTGTTGTTCCATAGGCACCAATTTCCTGTGTTTCACAGAAACCGGTCACTTAAGCCACTTTCCTCCTTTTCCCCTCACTTTTGTGAAACAGGTGATGACTTTTCTCCCTCTCTTGTGGGTTCTGACCACATTTCTTAGCTTTTTCTCTGCTACCATTCCATTGAGCTTGAGAAAAGAAAACTGTTGCAGAGCTGGAGAAAAGCTTTTCCTAGAAGCTCCTCTCTCTTTTCCACCTGTCAGGGGCTGGTCTGCTGAAAGAGGCTGTCCCTGTGGGCCTTGCCTCCTCGTCTCCTTGGACTGTTCCAGCTATAACTCCGCTGTTTTTGCTGTTCACGCCGTGCCAAAGTCCAGCAAAGTGTAAGCATGGGGAAGCAAGTGGCACAGAATAACTTTCAGGCTGCAAGTTGGACTGCTTGTAGCCTTCGTAGCTACTGATATACAAATATTGCTGCAGCACATAGCTGGGGTGATGCTCTGGTGACTGCTGGGGTGTTTCTGGGCTTTGGCCCTCGGTGGCAGTGACACAGATGATGGCTCCTCACGCTGTGCTCCTCGGGGAGGTCTCAGCCTTGAGGAGCTGAGGTTAACGTGGGAGGAAGCAAGGTGGCTCAGGGCAGAGGCCTTGCGAGGGTGGGTTGAAGCACAGAGACTGGTGGCCAGGCTGCCCTCCGGCCTCTCCAGGAGGGGAGGTGAGATGGTGGCCAAGCGCCTCAGGTGAGAAGAGAAAATGGCAGGCAGGCCCACAGCCGCTCCTTCCCAATGCTGTTTAGCTCTGCGCCTTTCACAGGCCCAGCCCAGCGGGCAGTGCTGTTTCCCTTCACTTCGGGTTGGTCAAAACGTTCATGGCCTTGGCTTGAGGAAAAAAGGGAGCACATGGCTCTGAGGGATCGGAATTAGCGCAGTTTAACGCACCCTGTTTTTGGACATCTGTGCTATGCCTGCTTTTCTCTTGCAGACATCTCCCAAGCTGCCATTTAGCAGGTGGAAGAAATTAGCAGGCAGATGGGTGGACATCTGGGACCAGCCGTGGCAAAAAGGAGAGCAGGCAGAGGAGCGGTTACACCAGGCCAGCATCAGGTCTGGGTGCACAGCAGTGAATTTGTTCCAGCCTATGGATCTTGGAAGCGGGAGGGATACCCCTCCTGTAGCAAGGATTTTGGTGCCAAACCAACCCGTGGCCTGTCTGAGCCCTCTATGGGACCTGCCTGCTTCCTCTGCCTTTGGCTGCAGATTAGGATCTCAAGTTCCTGTCCTTGTCTTCTTGCTGCTGCAGAGTTGAGCCCTGTGAAGTGTGCGTCTCTGTCTCTTTGCAGCGCTATGTTGAGATCTTGTTTGTAATTGTGGGTAAATGCTTCCAGGATCTTTCCACAAAGGGAAATACACATGGGTGAATTCCTTCTCCTCGTGGAGGTGCATAGGGTTGACAAAGCCCTGCTTGTTTGGAGGGTTGAAGCATGTGGTGCGGGTCATGGGCCCGGGGGAGCAGGCAGCCTCCCTGGTCCTCATGGTGAATCTTTGTGTTTGTTTGTGGCTTTATCATTGTAATTCTTGAGTGTGTCCTGCTGCAGAGGGCTTTCAACCTGCAGTAAATCCGTGCTGCTGTCCATACTTTGGGGAGCATGACCTCTGCCATCCCACAGACACCCATGGGCCTGTCATTGAGCTCCTCCTGCTTCATTGTGTAAAATGTGCCCGAAGCTCACATAATTCAGCTTTGCTCATTTAGGAACACGTTGTCAAGACTTATTGCTGGGTTTCCTCACTTGATTATCATTTTAACTCAAATGTGCAACACTCAAGTTAGTATTTCATGCAATTTTGGCACTGCAGGCCTGTTTCATGGCAGTTGAGCAGGAAAGGTCATCAGCTTGATGGACATCTGCAGGTTTCCTTTCTCAGCATTTGGACCTGGCAGCTGGACTTCGTAGCTCCCTTCCAACTGAACTACTCTATTTATTCTTTGTGCTTTCTTCTACGGCATTTGCAGATGCCTGTTCTAAAACCCTCCCTGTGCTGATGTTGAGGCTCTGCCCCCAAGCAAGGGCCTTGGTCTTTTTCAGCTGGGGGAATTGGTAGAGACCTTCAGAGGGATGAGGGGACAGCAGTAAGGAGGTGCTGCTGTTGTTCCGCCTGCCCTGGCTCAGGCAGGTTTGGGGTCTGCTTTTAGGACCAGGGTCTCTCCTGTGTGTCTGCATGGAGTTGCCTGGGTGGGGGTGACCCGGTGAAGCCCTGGTGGCTGTAAGCTTGGGGCATGGCGGGGCAGTTGGCAGGGGGAGCACTGAATTGCTGTCAGGCTGTGAGCAAAGCCACAGGGGTGACTAACTTCTGTCTCATCAGAAGACGGTTCTTCAGAAACGAGCGGGTCCATCCAGAAACACCAGACTAACCATCACCTCTGTGGCGGGACGGCCGCCGAGCATCTCGGTTCCCAGAATGAGGTGTCACTTACCCAGAAAGGGCCCGGAGGTCCCCTCCCACCCCACCGCCTGCTCTGCAGCACCCTGCACTGCTCTGGTGGCACCAGCAATGGGGCACAGCTGCCACAAAGCTGCTGGGGAGCCTGTTGCACCCTGCAAAAAAAGAGGGGAGGACATTTGGGGAGGCTCAGCCCTGCACAGGGGCCAGCCGTGAGAGGCAGCTCCAGGTCACTTGCTCCTCACCACCGTTCTGAGCATCCTTTGTCCCTCTTGGCCACCTGCTTGATCCAGAGCTAGACGTGCTGCCGAGTAGCCCCTGGGACCCCTTGTCCCCTTCTTGCCGGGGCGGGTGCTCCCACACTGAGGACAG